GAGGTAGAGGGAGGTGGTAAAACAGGACCAGGAAGAAAGAGTAATCGACTAAGGGAAACTTTTGACAGAATTATATAAAGAGGAAATATATTGGTGGACGACGCCGCCATGTTCTGGGATCACGAGAGGATGAGAAGTATTGATAGTGTTCACATAACCTTAGATGACATGATTAGTCCTTCCTCCACCTTATTGCACCTGATGATTAAATACTATAAAGCTACCTTGTGGTGCTCGTGGGAGGGGGGGTTAGTGTTAGGGTGATTAATTTTAAGGTGAATAAGCTGGGATCTAATCTTCATCCACATTTCGTAAGTTATATTGGACAGGTTAATCGCATTCAGTGATACCACTCACAACATTACTACCACTCACATCAATACCACTCACACGAGACACGGACGGACGGAGGGAGGGACGGACGGATGGATACGACAACTTAATCCCACTAGTAACAGGATTGGACACCCCGAGGATCATAGCTGGATCTTCTTATTCCGGCTTCACTACGGGGTGCTACAGCCTCGCTCTACCTCATTGTCGTCTGTATGTATGTCTGTGTCAGTGGTGAATGGGGTGTCTGTGTATACTAGACTGTGTCCTTGTCTATTTCTTAACTTGTCTTTTTGTGACTCTGTGTGATGACTTTTGAGTGTCTGTGCTGCTTTGATTTATGTTATGAGTTTGTTTCCGTTGCTGTCTGCGTGTCTCTCCGTGTGTACTGTGGTTCATTAGTTCTCGCTTTCCAATAGCTACAGTTACACTCCTTTCTGGAATCTCTGTGTCGAATGTCTGCGAACTTGGTGTGCATACACAATGGTCTAAAACGCCTAAGTTTATTCATTCCTTTATTAAATAATTATGTTATTAGGCATCCGTCTAGTGTGGGTCAAACTCTACAAAAACATTTTAGCTCATTGTTTTCTCGTATTTTAAAAAGCAAAGATTAAATTTGTCCTCCTCCCACCCATCACCCCCCCCCACCCCCCACCCCCCACCCCCCTCCCAAAGAAAGAAAAAAACGTGAGAAAAAAAACCGTGTTGGGTAATTTCCTCAGTTCATTTGACGACACAGGCAGTCGCAATATTCTTATTTTTTTCTGTAAGCTTTTTGTTTTGACAGTCTAGACCCAACTCTGCACACATACACTTTTTTGACAAAGACACAAACAGACACATTTAGAATTTGTATCATTCTGTTGGTATGTTACAAGGTATCAAAGGTCGCCTGTAATGGAGAGGCTATGTGTTTGGCCCCTCACTCACCTGTGTCATTCCTGATGGCTTTGATAGCTTTCAGATATTTAAACGTTTTACATGTTGAAATGTCACTTTGGCAGAAATACATGGCTCTCTCTCTCTCTCTCTCTCTCTCTCTCTCTCTCTCTCTCTCTCTCTCTCTCTCTCTCTCTCTCTCTCTCTCTCTCTCTCTCTCTCTCTCTCTCTCTCTCTCTCTCCAGTTACATAATAATTATTTTTGCTACATAATTTAATTAATTTATTTTACTATGCATGTATACTGTATATCAAATCATTTGGTTATTTATTAATTAATTTAACCACACACATATATTAATTAACTCACCCAATTATATATTAATTCACATGACTTACTAATTATATATATTCTAATTTATTTAAGTACTTATATATTAACTAATCTTCACCACTTATAATCTAATTAACGAGCTTTAATATCGACTTAGTTTCCCACTCAAGTATTTAATTGCCTCAGCCACATATAAATTAAATAAAAAAACTAAATAATCTATATAATCAGTTATCCAAGTGTTTGTTTGTCTCTCTGGACGAATAGATATATACGTACATGTAGAAACACTTGGGGTATTAGCGGTGTTCAGACCGTCGTAAAGAGCAGGTTATAAGCGGGTCTAGGGAGGACGATGTGCTGTGTGAATTCAAGTTATAACCATGAATTTTGGAGTTACAGAATGAGCCGACAGAGAGAGAGAGAGAGAGAGAGAGAGAGAGAGAGAGAGAGAGAGAGAGAGAGAGAGAGGCGGTAATGTGAGACAGAACAAATAAAGTAAGAGAAACTGTAAAAGAAATAAGAAAAACGAGAAAGAGACAAACAAAGAGAATATCATTACTTCTAAAAACGAGGCTCCCAAAATGGCTGGCTAGAGACAGAATGCAACTCATGAAGAACCACTTGACTATAATGAGGCCAAGGGCGACACATTAGGACGACAGGTGGCAGGTGTCGTGAAGTGGTAGAGGGAAGTGGTATACCGTTAGTTACTTCATGTGGTTAAATATTTAGCGTCATTAGCCAGTTTGCGTCGATAACCTTACGCCATTACTTCGTTGTAACACCTTTAACTACTTAGCGAACTTTGGCACGTTATTAACCATTTAGTGTCGTTAACCACCCACTGATTTTAGCCAATTAGTTTATTTAGTTCCTTTTACTAGTTACTTCTTAGCACCATTAACTTGCTAGGGACGTCAATCAGTTACTATCATTAACTACTTCTTATCTGTAAAAGGTTTTCCCAGTTTACCATTTACCGCCGTTAACCTCTCAACACTGTAGTCCCTAAGCCTCTATCAGCCACCTTGTTCCCTTAACCTCCCTACGCCATTAAACACTCAGTACCATTAAACCACATAGCACCATCAACCACCTGGAGCCATTAACGATTTAGCGCCGTTAAGCAGTTTTACAAGCGGGGAGGTGAAGGGATAAACAGCTCACTCCCCCAGGCAATTTCACCTAACAATCCTTATCACACTAAAAGCAATTACACTTGTCCGATATTTTGTAGTCATTTAAATAGGAAATGTAAATGGCTGCAATTTACACCCAACCACCCTCGTAAACGTATTACTGTGTCGCTTGTTACGTGCTTACATATTCCAGGCTCGTAGGTCTCACACACACACACACACACACACACACACACACACACACACTAACTATTGATGCCAGGGCCAGTCCACGGGTATTAGGCACCGCAGGCGGATTTTTAATCTTGGGTCCCCTCCTTCAGCCCTCCTCCGCTTCTTACCCCACTATTGAATTTCGAAAATGAATATTACACACTTGAGAAGCTCTTCAGTAATCACACACTCGCCACATCTGAACAGAGGTACCAACACAAACAACATATCACCGATGTATGTAAGTAGATCCCCACCTATCATTTCCTATATACTGTTTGTTTACTTATGTCGTATCATGTATAGTTCAGTCAGTTTTTTGCCGCTTCCAATATTTTGTTCCTCTGAGCGACCTCCTAGTTTGCCGTGGTGGTGGTGCTGGTTGGTGCCTCGCTGTAGTAGTTGTAGGACGCGCAGTAATATTATCTCACCAGTTTAGTCAGAGGCGATTACGGTCGAGTGGCGTTGAGTGAGGAAAGCCATTCAGTGTTATTTGATTTTGGGAATTGTTTGTGATTGTGTTTGTATCTTGGTGTATTCGTGACTGTAGCTGTGTTGTTGACTCTGACAGTTGGTTACAGTAACTGTATTTTAACGTTGGCATGAAAAAATTATTTCATGGGTTCGACCCATCTGCACTGCTGCTCGACCTCTTAAAGTAAAACGCATCTTTTTATGATAAGGCGTCCTAACAAGCACAAAGTTCCTGATTCAACCCCCTTCCTACGCTGAACATAGTTGATAGCCAGTATTAGTGTCTGGTCCAGCTGAACCCGTACACAGTAACTCATATGGTCGTAAGAGTACCAACTGAGGCAGAAAGTTGGTATACATTCGCTTAGCGATTACTTCGACCTGGGAATGGTTTGTGGAGCAGAGCCGTGAGAGACGGTTGAGCAGGTGGAAACGAGGAAGTGAGATGATTCACCAAGTGTTACCAGGTGACATAAACAGCGATGGTCTGACACACTCTCAGATGACCAGATCAGCAGTGACACGACATAAACACTCGGGTGGTGAAGCAGGTGTTTCCAGATAGCCAGAACAGCTGACCTGGCGCACAGAACACTCTCAGGTGGTACAGTAGGTAGTCTCAGGTAACCAGAACAGGTAACCCGGTAGCAGAAGGCAATCAGAACAATCCCAGGTCACGAACCATCTCCAGTTTACAGTTCAAACCTTTCAGAAAAAAGCGATTAGATACCCAGATCATAACAGCTTACATTCTCACCTCATGTACGGCTCTGAAAAAATATCAGTAAGCGTGTAAGGATTTGTTCAGCCACGTTGATGGGGGAAAGTGTGTGTGTGTGTGTGTGTGTGTGTGTGTGTGTGTGTGTGTGTGTGTTTAATATATGATTGTCTATGCGTGTAGGTTCGTATATGTTACCTATATAGATGATATATATGTGCTGTGTGTGTGCCTATATATGTATAAGAGAGAGATAGATTGATTTTATTCCGGTCAACAACCCAATCCAGCTGGTTACCCAAGCCGGTGCCAGCTGTGATGAAGGCTGATGGTCAGGAACTTAGATTACAGGCCAGATAAGCTGACCAATAAGAAATAAGATACCTTCATCCGCTTACGACTTGTGGTGCCTCTCTCTACCCCGGTCTGTGGGTCTCCATTCATACACAGCACACACTTAGAAAACGTTCACTCACATGGCATGCACACTGTAACATACATAAAATATACTCACTTTGAATACACAAATTCATATAAATATACACACACAAACATAAACACATATTTTTACATTCACGGTAACATACACTCACGTATACACACAATTATCAATACACATACTGTAATTGTATAACCACGAAAGCAACACATGTATATTCTCAAAAAGTGCTCTCACATTAACATGCTATCAAATGCACTCAAATGTACTGCATGCACGATAAACATACTCTCAATTAAACACACTTATGTAAACATATATACAAAAGCATACTCACATACACATACATAAGCATAAACATACACACATGAGTATACATACACAATCACGCACGCACCCACGCACGCATACCTGTGTACTACCACACTTGAGGATGTTGAAGGCCGGGATGTGACCACTTAAAAGGTAGTGACGTCTCCTGGGACCTCAGCAGGAGGCCAGTTACCTCCCAGACCACCAGCAGCAGACCAATTACCTCCCAGACCACCAGCAGGAGACCATTTACCTCCCAGACCACCAGCAGGAGACCATTTACCTCCCAGACCACCAGCAGGAGACCATTTACCTCCTAGACCACCAGCAGGAGACCATTTACCTCCCAGACCACCAGCAGGAGACCATTTACCTCCTAGACCACCAGCAGGAGACCATTTACCTCCCAGACCACCAGCAGGAGACCATTTACCTCCCAGACCACCAGCAGGAGACCATTTACCTCCTAGACCACCAGCAGGAGACCATTTTCCTAGACCACCAGCAGGAGACATTTACCTCCCAGACCACCAGCAGGAGACCATTTACCTCCCAGACCACCAGCAGGAGACCATTTACCTCCCAGACCACCAGCAGGAGACCATTTACCTCCTAGACCACCAGCAGGAGATCATTTACCTCCCAGACCACCAGAAGGAGACCATTTACCCCCCAGACCACCAGCAGCAGACCATTTACCTCCCAGACCACCAGCAGGAGACCATTTACCTCCCAGACCACCAGCAGGAGACCACCCAGACCACCAGCAGGAGACTATGTGCTCTCACTGTTGCAACAAAAGATGGTCCTCCTGCTCTTAGCTCCCTCCAGCACCACCATCACCTCCTCTTCACAGTCACTCAAAACTTTAACAAGGGATTCACTCTTGTCTCGTTATTTTCCTCCTCACTCTTACCACACTTCGTCTTCCTTCCTATTCTCCTCTCGTTCTCTTATAATGATCTACTTATTCTTATTACCTGTTTCCTTGGCTCTCAATTTTTCCTCTACCATTTCCTCCTCAGTCGTATTTACTTATTTGGATTTTTACGACGTTGAGTGCTGAAAATAATTCACTTTTGTTGAGGCTGCGGTCTCTTCTGTGTTGTTTATATAACGAGCGTTGTACCTGTAGGTCTTGTCTGCCCTGAAGCGTGTGGAATAAGACAGGGAACATAAGACTAAAACTGGTATATTGATCTGATGGACTGTTATGAGAGGAAATCTATTTTTAAACGAACAACAAATGGTATTTTACGGTCCAGCTGTTTGAGGGATATTTTTCGTCTTTTTTTTGTCGTAGATTAAAGCAAAAAATTAATGTTGAAAAAGAATAATCAGAATTTCTACGATGAAAATGTAATAAATCCATCTCTACAAAACTACATGCAGTACTGTATATCGGAGGGAAGTTTGAATTCAGTCAGGTGGACAGTTCTTGAAGAGACTTAACGGATGATGACAGACGGCTTCAGTCTATGTAAACATCAGAAGAAAGAGCTAAAACATTTCAATACGCTGGTTTATTTAATTTGTTCGGTTGAAGGTTTTAGCCGAAGTTTATATTAATTTTAAAGTTTGTTAAAATTGCTGGAGGTAATATATTTGGTAATTTAGTGTAGCGACTCTTCCTTGATTAAATTATTTGAGATTTTTTTTTACCCGTAAAGTTTTCTTTGCTTTTTATTTTAGTTATTTTATCTTTGGTGAGTTTTAGAGAGAATCACTACATTGGTGAAGTGTGTGGTGGCTGACGCTGTGATGGTAGATGCATCTATTTCCAACAGTAGACGAAACGAAAAGGCCAAACCTGAGTTAACTAGCCTAGCCTAACCTGCCTAACCTAGACCAACCTAAATAAACTCAAATTAAACTTAATTTCATTAATTTAACGTAACCTAAGGTAACTAACCAAACCTAGACTATCCTAAGTATACCTAACCTTGAATAACTGGACCTAACCTTACCAAAACAGTGACCTCAGACTCTTAGTTTTGGTTCGGTTCGGATTTGTTCGTTCAAGTTTGCTGTGAAGCTTAAACAAACTCGGTGTATTCCCCCGACTGGAGCCATGGTAATATTGTTTCCATCAAGGTCTATAGAATATAGACCTCTGTTTACAGATACAATACATTTCTCTAGAGATTTAAAAATACGAAGAAATTATTGGATATTAATATTCGTTTATGAAATTTAAAACTTAAGCATTCGTAGCGTGATTTATTATCTTAAAATATAATGAAGTCAACATCACTGTATTTAACTAGGCAAAAAATAATTTCAGGAAAATTCTGAAGGTTCGTCTTTATCACACGAACACTTAAGTGGAAATACAGGAATTCGTATCGTGTATCATAGTGACGCGTAACGTAGTGACGTGTACCGTAGTAACGTGTACCGTAGTAACGTGTACCGTAGTAACGTGCAACGTGGACTATTTCTATCACCGAGTGTATGTTACAGAGTAACAAACAGTTAAGCGGACATCCTTGACAGTCATTATCTCCGGGAGAAGGATGTCCAGATGAGCGGCGCCTGGTGTGTCACGCTTCTCGTATCTCTTGCACTCAGCCTCCACTCAGTGTGGGGAGGGGCGCACGCACACACAAAGGACCCCTGGTAGGTATTATTCAAATATTATAACCGATTCATTGTTTCCAGTAGAGAGGTTGAAGGCGATGCTTGTTGGTGCAGTTATTAGAGGATGTTAGGTGCAGGGGACACGAGGAGCTGTGAGGGCAGTTGTTCAGTTATTGTTTTTGATGTTATTGCGCGTAAGTTTTATATCAGGCAGCCTTCCTGTTATTATTATTGTTATGCGTTGACAAGATGGGGTGGTGACGTGCACGCAGCAGCTGGAATATTACAGCGTCGTGGTTAATGCAGCAATAGGATGTAAAGTACAAGTAATCCTCCCTCGCCGCCGGATTTAGATAAGAAAAGGTCAGAAGTCTTCGAGGTTTCATTTGCATTCACTTCTTGTTTCCTGAATTATTTTTCCTGTACTCAGCCTTTGTCTCGCCTAATGCATCTCACAACTTTCAGTGGATAATAAAAACTCAGGGGTTGTTAAGTCACTCAGCGGAAGATGCTGAAGACTCTTGCCACTCTTCCTTTACGTCACTCATCAGCTTTGCATGAGGTGATGAGATTCACTGCCGCGATACAGAGAGTCGAGTTAATTTATTTAGTTCACATTGACGGTGGCCTTCACAACCCCAGAAAGGTGACATAAACGCACATCGAGGGTTTAGGTATAGATTCCTTCATATTTTAATGTACCAGAATTTGCGGATTGTCTAACTTGTAAAATTGCGTCATTGTAAAGTTCTTATAATATTAGCAAAATCTTACAAAACTTAAAAAAATGTAGAATGTCAGTAAATGTACAAATACCTGTAAAGTTTGTCTTGCTAAAGTTCCTTATTTTTTAAAAGATTAACTTTTATTTATATTGTGTGGTCATGATCCGAGATCTACTTCCCATCCAAATATAAATTTTGCAACATTTTCTTAATCTTTTTATAAGGACGTTGGAAATTTAAAAGTTTATTTTTGTAAAGTCTTCTCAATTTGCATGAGAATCAACTTTTAGCTGCATCTTCCGGCCGTCAGACGCCTCCTTCCCTGCTAATTAAAGTTTTGCAAAAAATAAAAACAAAATCACTTGAAGTCGAGGAAATACATGCAGGTCAAGATCTATCATTGTACAGATTATCAGCTTAGTATCATCACACTAGAGTCGTTAGGCTGATGACACGAGGTTTGCAGAACTACATACATAAACAAACGTCGAGAAATCCTAACTTTGACTTTGCAGAGCTCAGTGGGGCAAAGTTAAAATAAGAATTTAACTTAGCTGCTGATTGTACCACATGACACACACACACACACACCAGGTATACATCGCATGTTTATTCTGTATTATTATGTTATGAATATTTCCGTGTTTTAAGATGGCGTCTTTGGTCTGTTGGCTGGGTAGAGAATGTGATCCACTTTATTGCGAATGGATGCAGTTTGTTTAGTAACCTACATAACCAGCACAGACGTACACAACTAGCACACACGTACACAACCAACGCACATGTACACAACCAGCACAAACTTACACAACAAATACAATTCCATAAGCACATCATTCAGAGCGAAACTACAGGTCTTCCTAATTCTCCCTGACGAGTAGTTTTCAGTCTTTTTCCCAGCTGAGTGACTCCAATCTTCAGGAGTCGAAACATTTATAGGGGGGCCGACACCCTACCTGCACTACACACCTTAAAACATGCATCTGTTAGCGACTGTTCATGTTACCTGCGCCAAAGCTCAGGTATGGAGCTTGTTTGGCGTTTTTAGGCTACATATATATCCGTTAAATTCAATGTTGCTCACTTCAGATACGTACTAGCCGTTCTAAAATTCTAAACCTTTAAAAATATCGACTGACTCGTGGAAAATTTCAGTCTTTTTCATTATCCTCTCTCGGACCCCACTGTTGTGAAGATGGATCAGGGATGCAAAAATCTTCACAAAAATTGGGGAATAATAGAAGAGAGTTGTGCAAGTTAAGTGAGAAATGCCAACACACACACACACACACACACACACACACACACACACACACACACACACACACACACACACGGACGTTCCTATCACCAACTTACATGTAATTACAGTACACAGAGTGAATTTGTAATCTCTACATTGATTCACGAATTTCTGTATCACTTGTTTATGAATATTTAGCCATCAAGACTTATTGAAACTAAGAAAAAAACCCAACCATATTAAACCCATAAGAGCTTTAACTCCTAGTGTACGAGGTCGCCACTGAGTTGAATACAATCGTCTGGTTTAGCTAAATAAAACATTAAAAGTATCGTCCCCGTAGTGAAGCGGTTGGTGGAGATAGTCTGTAAGTCCCGTACTATATGATAGAATGTGCCGTGGAAGACTCTGGGTTGTGAGGCCGCTTCTGGTGGTTCAACAGAGATTATTCGCTTGGTATCTGCGACTTCCTTTGAAGATGATGACACATTTCCGGCAGATGTCTAATGCTTATTTACCAACGATCTTATGTGGTGAGTTGAGTCAGCCGTCTGTCTCTCTGTCCTGTTGTGAGAGTTACAGTACCTTCGTCTTAGAGTTTGTTCTTGTCAAAGATGGTAATGTGTCGGTAATGTTATTGTGTTCATTAATTTATATAATATTGTGTTCACTAATATAACATTGTTCATTAATTAATACAACATTGTGTTTATTAATTAATTCATATAGTGGTAGCTTTAACGTGTTAATTGGTTAATGCATATGTTGATAATGTCATTTATTATTTCACCTGTGTGCTTGTCTGTTGATAGGTTCAGTTCCGTGTGTCTCAACGGGCGAACTGTAAAGTCTTTCACATGAGCTTCGTAAGAGATAGTGGTCGGTGAGGGTTCAAGGTTGAGGCCACGAGTAACACTTGACCATTGACATCAGAGTATCAGTGAGGAGGATTAGTGTTCAAACTTAGTATATGCTACGAGTGGCAGCCAAGTGTGTGTGTGTCTGTGTGCGTGTGTGTGTGTGTGTGTGTGTGTGTGTATATATATATATATATATATATATATATATATATATATATATATATATATATATATATATGTGTGTGTGTGTGTGTGTGTGTGTGTGTGACGCTGGTAACACGACTCTTCGTTAATTAAATTACTTAAAATGTGGAGTGAGTTATTTAAAGCTCATCTCTGTGTAAGGTGTGTGTGTGACAACTTAGTGTTGTGGTGTGAATAGTAAGGAGGAGGAGGATGTAATGGAGTGGTAGTGTGGAGGAGTAGGTAGTGGAGTGGTGAGTAGTGTGAAGGAGGAAGTAGTGGAATGGTAAGTAGTGTGGAGG